AAATATTTACAATAACTAAAGAATAATACTCATAATATATAAAAATAGACTATCCTTTTTCATCCTTGAGTGATGCATCGGAGGAGCTTGTAATGTGAACTGGAGTTGTATTCTGAGCTGCTTGAATGAGCTGACCGTGGGCTGGATGTGCTTGAATGGGCTGACCGTGGGTTGGATGTGTATTGTGTAATAGCCCCCGCAAGATGGAGAATAGAGATTCACTATTCCCATCTTGGACAAGTGTAAATGGAGGAGATAGGCAGGTAAGGCCTTTGTAAATATGTCAACCAGCTGAGATTGAGATGCAATATGGGAAGTAATGATACTAACTTCTTGAATCTTGTCCCGAACAAGGTGACAATCTAACTCAATATGCTTCGTTCTCTCGTGAAAAACAGGGTTGACAGCAATATGGAGAGCTGCTTGATTGTCACAAAAAATCAAGGCAGCTTGGGGATGTGGTACCTGCAAATCACGAAGCAAGAATCTAACCCATGTAAGCTCAGAACATGTGGATGCCATAGAACGATACTTAGCCTCAGCTAAGGATCGAGAGACAACGGATTGTTTCTTAAACTTCCATGACACAAGAGAACGACCAAGAAATACACAATAACCTGTGGTGGAGCGTCATGTGTCAGGATAGGAAGCCCAATCGGAATCACAATAAGCTCGAAGTTGCAACTGAGAAGATGATGATAATAAAATGCCTTGGTCAGGAGCATTTTTCAAATACCTTACGACTTTGTGGGCTGCTGAAAGGTGGGAGTCAGTGGAGTGATCCATAAACTCGCTCAAAAGCTGGACAACATAAGAGATGTTTGGCTGAGTGATGGTGAGGTATAAAAGGCGGCCAATGAGTCTTCTATGAGAGCTAGGATCAGGTAGGGGATGTCCAGAGGCCTTTTGTAATTTGAAATTCTGTTCAAGAGGCAATTTTAGGGGTTTACAACCTACCATACCAGAATCTGAAAGTATATCCAAAGTATACTTTCTTTGGGATAAATGTATGCCTTTGGAGGATCTAGCAACTTCCAAGCCCAAAAAATAACGCAAACAACCAAGATCTTTAATCTTAAATTGATTATGCAAAAAGGCTTTAAGAGATGCAATGGATGTCGAGCAATTACCAGCCACAATAATGTCATCAATATAGACTAACAATGCAGTAAAAGAGTTACCATCAGCTTTGGTGAATAGGCTATAATCAGGATTGGTGGAAACCAAAAGTAATGAGGCTAGAAGAAAACTTGGAATACCATTGTCTAGAGGCTTGTTTAAGGCCATAAAGACTCTTGACCAGTTTGCATACCTGAAGAGGTCCTCCTTTAGTGTAACCAGGAGGCTTCTTCATGTAAATTNCCATAAAGACTCTTGACCAGTTTGCATACCTGAAGAGGTCCTCCTTTAGTGTAACCAGGAGGCTTCTTCATGTAAATTTCTTCTTCCAAGTCACCATGAAGAAAAGCACTGTTTACATCAAATTGATGTAAGGACCACCCCTGAATTGTTGCTATAGAAAGAAGAACCCGGACTGTGACTAATTTGGCAACAGGGGAAAAAGTTTATGTATAATCAACTCCTCCAAGTTAGGTAAAACCCTTGGCAACAAGTCTTGCTTTCAACCTTTCAATGGATCCATCAGAATTAAATTTGAATTTGTAGACATATTTACAGTCAATAGGTCATTTACCAGGTGGCAAATCAGTGATTACCTAAGTCTGGTTTTGTTCCAAAGCATTCAGCTCAGTTCCCATGGCTTTACACTAGCTAGGATGTTTCAATGCTTGCTTATAAGTGAAGGGTTCAGAAATAGAAGAGATGGAAGTAGAAAAAACTGTGAAAGAGGGGCTAAATTTCTGGTATGTGAGGAATTGGGTGAGAGAATGATGTGTGCTGGAATTACCTTGAGAACTCTTGGGCAGCAACTGGGTAGGGGCAGTAAGAGATGCCTGTGTGCAATGAAAATCCCTTAAATATTGTGGTGCAGTCCTTTGCTTAGTAGACCTGCGAAGAGGAGGTTGAAGAGATGAAGTAGGAGGAGGAATAATGGGAGAGGAAGGGGATGAGGTGTGACTAGAATCAGAATGAGAATGTTGAGAGGTTTGGAAGGTGGGTTGGGAAGTAGGTGGCGGGGAAGAAGAAAGAGTGGACTGAGGGGGGGTATGGGAAAGAGAATAGGTCAAGTAATGGTTTGGTGTATACTGGATTAGGTTGTTCATTGGGAGAAGTTAAAGAAGAAGACAATGAAAGAAAAGGAAATATTGATTCATGAAACACAACATCTCTAGATATAAAAGTGGTTTTGGTGTCAAAGTCAAGGAGTTTATAACCTTTAACACCAAATGGATATCCGAGAAAGATACATATGCGACCTCTAGGGTCAAATTTTGTTCTACCATGTGCAAGAGTGGAAGCAAAGCATAGAGAACCAAATATTCTTAGGTGAGCATAGGTAGGGGGTAAGTTAAACAGCAGCTCATAGGGTGTTTTATTTTGTAGAAGCGGGCTAGGGGTCCTATTGATGAGGTAGGTGGCTATGAGTACACGATCATTCCAATAGGTGAGTGGTAGTCCAGCCTGAAATCTTAATGCTCTGGCAACATTTAATAAATGTTGATGTTTGCGTTCTACAATGCCGTTTTGTTGGGGAGTGGCCACACAACTTCTCTGGTGAATAATGCCTTTTGAATTAAAAAAAATCTTTCATTAGGAATACACTTCCATTGTCAGTCCGTATGGTTTTGATTTTAAGGTTAAATTGAGTCTCAACCAGATTGGTGTAGGATTGGATGCATTTTCTTGTTTCAGATTTAAGTTTGAGAAGATAAAGCCATGTGGTATGGGAGAAATCATCCACTATTGTTAAGAAAAATCTAGATACATCATATGCAGTGGTAGAACAGGGTCCCCATAGGTCACAATGTATCAAGTCAAAAGGACGAGTAGATTTATGATTACTAATGGAAAAAGGGAGGCGGTGTAGCTTTGCTAAAGGACAAATGCAACAAGGATTTTTATTACCAGTAATGATGCTACTCTTTACAATAGGGTCAGTAATTAAACTGAGACAAGGAAAGGAGAGATGACCTAGGCGACAATGCTAGAGGTCATTGACAACAACATTACTTAAAACAGAAGCAGAAATAGTAAAATTGTTATGTGAAAGCTGAGAGATTTTGGCAACTAGGCTTGAAGGAGAAACATCACAATGTAAGAGATGGTATAGGCCATTTTGCACTTCACCCTTCCTAATCGTTTTCCAAGAGACAAAGTCCTGAATAAAACAGACATCAGAGAATAAAAGCAGACAACATGTTAGTGAAGAGGCAAGTTTCTTGACAGAAATTAAATTAAAATTAAAGGATGGAACACATAAAACCTCAGTGAGACAGAGTGAATCGGTGAGGTCGATAGTACCCATTTGTGTGACTGGAACATTAGTTCCATTGGGTAATGCAACAGAACGAGAGATGGTGTTTGTGAGTGCAGTAAATATGGAAGGGCGGCAGATGATGTGGTCTGTTGCGCCCGTATCTATTATCCAAGGAAAATGAGATAATGAATGTGGTGTGTGTGTGTGAGTGGATAAACAAAGAGAGATACCAGACAAATTGGGATTAGAAGTAGGGGTGGGCGTTGGTGGGTCGGTCCGGGTATTTCAATACCCAGAACCACACATTATATTTCGAGTATTTTATAAATGGATCCATTTGGTTCCATGTAATTATTGGACCCAAACTCGAACCATCGGTTCCGATTTCGGTTTGGGTTCGGTTCTACACATAACATTTTTTTGAATATATATTTAGTAAATCCAATTATGTAATTAGACGAATTATCACAAACTATCCATTATGTCATAGATTTAGTAACTGACATTAATGGATTAATCATCCAAGACGTAAACAAAGCCTTAACAAATTAAAAGTTACACAAAAAATTAATAAGACTAGCCTTAAAAAAGCATTAAAAATTAGTTAAAATGTAAAAGAACTTTAGTAGGAGTATAGGATCAGCATTAAACATAGCCTTAAAACTTAAAAGAGCATTAATAAGACCATCTTATTATGATAATAATTAGAAGTTCAAAAAATTTTAAAACCAACGTGAGAAGTCAAACAACGGAAAAATGTCATCAAAAGAGTCATAAAATGTTAACCACAAACTCCAGATGATGAATATTCTCAATAGATTTTGAGTCGCCTACATTAATCCATGTGAGTTGTGTCGCACCAACCATTTAGACATCTATTGCATAAGTTGTGTCATTAACAAAATCTACAAGACATAATTAAAATATAATAATCATTACAAGTTTAACAAAATTAAAATTTATTAGATTAACAAAAATTACAACGAAATCGGTTCCATTCGATTACCCATGGTTCCAATTCAAGAACCAAAAACTGACCCGGACCCAATCGGTTCTCGATTTTCGGTTTCAATTCCTATTTATTTTTTTTAGCGATTTCGGTTCGGGAGATCCGGTTTCAGTTAAAATGACCACTCCTAATTAGAAGTAACGTTAGAGTCAGGTTGAATCTGGTTAGCCGAAGGCTGGGCAGCAATGGAAGCATCCCGAGACTGAAATAGAGCCATTTGTTGCTGAAACTGAGCTTGGTAAAACCAATTTTATCATCACTGAGTGCCTCAAGGTTGGGAGAGGGGGAATTGGGGGTCTGAGTGGTAGGGCTGGGAGGTTTAGTAAAAAATTTATGGCCTAGTGGGTAGCCATGTAATTTGTAGCACTTGTTAATGGTATGGCCAGTGAGATTACAGTGAGAGCATACAGGGGCTTCAGCATTGCCCACTTTGAAGCAGGACTCAAAGGTATGGCCGGTGATTTTGCAGTGAGTGCAATATGGGCAGTCTTTCTTTTTGTTGGGTTGGGTATTTAGGAGTAGAATATGCTCGCTTAAAGGCCATAGCCATGGAGTCGGGAGAGGGGCTTGGTTGAACCAGGGAGTGCTGTCGTTCTTGTTGTTGGATGAGGGAGAACACCTTTGTGGCAGGGGGTAGAGGATCCAAAAGCATTATTTGATCACGAACATTTGAGTAATTACCGTGTAAACCCATTAAGAACTGAAATACACAATCTGGTTGATACCGATCCACAAGAGTTTTCATAGTTCCACAATTGCAAACAGGTATAGGGTCATAGACAGAGAGCTCATCACAAAAGGTTTTTAGCTTTCCACGGTAAAAACTTATAGAGTCGTTATCCTGGGAAATGCTTGCAAGAGACTTTTTGAGTTGAAAAATTCGTGGCCCATTCTGTTGAGAGAACCGATCCTGGAGATCACTCCATATCTCGCAAGCGTCATCCACGAAAGCCACACTCGACTTGATGGAAAGGGCTAATTGAGTTCTGGATCCACGACACCACCATGTCGTTTGAGGATCGTCTAGGTTTGTGGGTCATGGGAGGTCGCTAGTAATGAAACCCAGCTTATTCTTTGCGCGAAGGGCGCGACGCATAGCCCGTGACCAGGTGGAGTAATTACCGATGATGAGCAGGTCGGTGACGAGAATTACGGCAGGGTTGTCACCATTGTCAAGTTGAAAAGGATTAATAGGGTTATTGAGATTCAGGTATCGTGCCATATAGTTGGCACTGTAGATGTTTGATTTGGGGTTTGAGTGATGGGAAGGAGAAACAGAATGGGTAGAGGACGAATTGGAGTTATCTTGGTGTTCATACATGGTTAATCATTCTCTTGCTCTGATACCATGTAAAATAAGCAAAAAAATAAAGCAAAAACACAAAGGTGCAGAGATGATTAACACATGGATGCTGCGAATTTTCAAGTGTATTCCATTCAATAATTCTGTACAGTGTTCATACCTTTATATACACAATCCCACAACAAACTAACCGTAAATATTTCCTAAAGATCCCTAAAATCTATTCACAATTTATGGAAGGAAAATATTTACAATAACTAAAGAATAATACTCATAATATATAAAAATAGATTATCCTTTTTCATCCTTGAGTGATGCATCGGAGCAGCTTATAATGTGAACTGGAGTTGTATTCTGAGCTGCTTGAATGGGCTGGATGTGTATTGTGTAATAACTTTGGCCAATGAAAAATTCTGTTCACGTCGTCCAGATGAAGCTCTGTAGGATAATGCACAAATTCAGTCATCATATTCACCGCATAAGTTATGTCAATAAATTTAGGAAGAAGTTTAAGTAATTTCAAGATGACAATTTGTATATTTACAACTCCGTTCTATTGTGGAGTGTCGAGAAGACTAGAGAACAACTCTTTCCTTTCAAAACAGGATCTAGATTATACCAAATACTATATTATGTTAGATATCACGTGTCTTAATTGAAATATGAATTGAGTATTAATCATTTTATGGAACAACAAAAATACATGCATTGAATTATTCTTTTATAGTAATAATATGTTATCTTAGTAGTCATCAATAAAGTAAACAAAACATCGTAGAATAGTCTCTCCATTGAGCAACGGTCCTTCCACTCAACACCATTGGATCACTAAGGTTGACTTTCGTACCTGCTTGACGGGTGTGTCTTGTAATTAGGCTCCATTTTGCCTTTGCACTCGAGGGCCATTCTGTCTGGTCTGAAAAAACTTTTGTACGCCTCAATCACCTTTTTTGAAGGCCAACGCCCATACAAACTATCTAAAGTCGATGTTGGGATAAAACATCTGAAGTAGTCAGCAAACTTCATTCATATTTGAATCGTATTGATCACTAAATTTTATAATTTATTTTAAGGTTAGCACTTCGTTCATTTTATTTCCGTTGGTGTATTATACTAGACCAGGGAAACCAATAGAATGGAGTGGACCCATTAGAAAGTAGCAATATAATTTGACCTTTTAGATTGAATTTTCTTAGAAGTATGTATTGTTATCAACATATTTAATTTAATATTTTTCTCATGAATTTAAGGTCTTAACAATCAAGAAATTGATGTCCAAAGAACCTATTGTAACATTTAAATCAATCGATATCATGCCTTGGCATCTTTTTTTATAATTCAGAAATCTTGGTCGTCAAATGATCTGACTATGCATTCCAATTAAATCATGTATGTTGACCTAGAAATTAATTATAAGACAATCCTGTGGAGAGAAATTTCAATTATTATTTTAATTAATCTTATCTTCTAACAAATTTTTTAGGCACGAAGAATTTTACTTACGAAATATACTAATTGGAGAAAACTTACAACATGAGCCTGTTCACATAAATTAACTTGAATAAACACTACAAGCCACCAATCTCTGGCCGGGCTTCGCCGTTAAATGGCGAGCATCAACCCCGGCAAAGAGCGTTTTGTGAGGTCTAGAGGGTGGCTCTGCACAAAGTGGTGGAGCTTGAACACACAAAAGACCTTAAATCCTTAACAGTGAGCCATGTGTTGAAATATTCTCTAAACTGAGTGATTAAGCCATTTTTTAAGGTCCAAACATGAACCCAATACACCTGAGCCCCTTCCCAGCCCTCCACTATCACACATTCATCAATGGCGTCGATGCTTTGAGGCTCAAATTTGAATGCGGTGGTGGAACATTTTCCGGTGAGCATTTTCATCATGTGGTGGCGGTTTTGAGGGCCGTGGTACCACCACTCTAGGTCTGTGGCTATATGGCCAGCCACTGTGGCGGTGTCGCCACTTGATAATCCTCTGTAAAGGGTGTTTACAATGGCCTTGTTCTTGTTCTCCAGTGACGGCGCCGCCTCTGAATCAACACTTGTGATTTCCATTCTGCAGTGTGTGATTATAAATAGAGTAATATTTGTGAAAAGGCTCAATTGGTTCTTGCCTGGTATGGCTAAGTGGAATGGGACCCAACAAGAAATGATGACAAACTATAGCCTTCAAAATATTTAACTTTTTATATATAAACTTACAACCTAAGACAAGTTAGCCATGTTTGACGGTCATTTTTGTATGGAATGAGTTTTTGAATAGTATATTTTTGGAAAATGTATAGTTAAAAAAAGAAAAAAGGTTTTGATTTTCTGTGAAAAATAATTTATTATGAAAATATGTGGTTGAAAACGAATATAAAAATGATTGTCAAACAAGGGCTTAGTTTGCACCACTACGATAGTTACAAAACAACATAGTTCAATCTCCATACATAAAACTTAATAAGCTTATAATTTTTGTGTATGTCTCATTATCACTTCTTAATTATAATAAGCTAACAACAACAATGTCATTTTCTGCTTAAATCGCTTCCCCATTTTGCCTGAGAATTATTCCACTTTGATTTTTACTCTTCTTGATTCATATTATTCTTGTGACATGTTCGACCCAATAAATTAAAAAAATAAAAATTAACTGACGAATATTTCACATCTTTTTCTTTCTCAATCCTACTCAAATCTACTCAATACAACTAGCAATTATTGTTCTTGATCTTTAAACTTATCAGGATCAAATTTATGACCTCCTATTCATGAGTTGATATTAATATGATGTTCTAAAATGTGTGGAATTTATGTGGAAGGTCGGAGTTTGATTCACATTCCAATGTGATTATTAAAAAATCTATGATTGGGCATTGGGACCCTGGGCTTATTTCATTAAAATAATATTTTATTTATTTATTTTAATCATTTTTGAATTTATGCACATGGTCAAACTAGCCGGCAAATAAAATTTTTGTTGGGCCAGATAATTTATATAAAGTATCAACAACCCATAAGACCACAATTATTTTCTAACTTGGTGGAGGAAGCTATAACTTTTTTGTGGCTAAATGAACACGTGTATGCTCTTTGAAAAACTACAATAAAATTATCATTTTCATATTATGTGATTCTATTTAATCGACTTTATATATTTATATATTTTATTTTATTTTATTTTATTTTATTTTTGAAACTAGTTAGTTTCCACTTTCCAACACATTTTACATCTAAATTAATTATTTTATATATAAACATATTATTGTTGGGTTATATTGATGTTTTAGGCAATCTAGCATTTTTTGAATCCTTATTATCACTAAAGTTGGTTGTTTTCGAAAAATACATTTTCAAAATATTGTCTATATGTAACGGGGCAATCTTATGGGATAACTCGTCACTTAAAATGACAATTATCTTGGAACAAATAATTGGTAACAATCATATTGTTAAAATAAATTCCATTAACCACATGTCAACTTCAATTGACGCGGGCATCTCCAATGGTTGCACTATTGCACCATTTTTTGGTGCAAAGTTGCTCCTATGCAATATTAAACTTTGCACCATTTGTTGCACCAAATATGCACCACACTATTCATTACACCATTTTTTGCACCAAATGGTGCAATGTCCATTTTGTCTCTATTTTTCATTTTTCAAGATAATAGTTAAGGGTATTTGTATCATTTTCGTTCTATAATGATAATAATAATGATGATGATGATAATTAATTACACTATTAATTATATTATTAAAGTTTATTATTATTTTTATAATATAATCAATAATAATTAACGTAATTGTTAATTTAACGTAAAGTTTAATTCGTAAAGTTTACGTTTAAAGTTTAATTTAACGTAAAGTTTAATTCGTAAAGTTTACGTTTAAAGTTTAATTTAACGTAAAGTTTATGTTATTAAAGTTTATTATTTTTGTAAATTTAACTTAATTGTTTGTTATAAATTAATAATATAATCAATTATTTTTGTCAATTTAACAAAATATATAAAATACGTGAATAATTTAGTAATCAATATATTTGTTAATTTAACGAAGTTATGATTTAGTTATTTATATAGTTATAAAATAAATAAATAAATAAATAATTTTTTAAATAAATACATTGTCAAAAATCGAAAAAATGAATAAAATAATAAAGTACTGTTCATTTGGTGTAAGTTTTGGTGTAATGGTTGAAGAAGAATTTTAGTTTGTTGTAAGATTTGGTGCAAATTTTGGTGTAAAGATGAAGATGGCCTAATAGTCTTCAAATATAGTTTTGATAATTCCAAAACATACCTAGGGAAAAAAACTATGTATATCCCCTTCTAGAATACTCTGGCGCTTAGGTTATTAGTTTCGAGAATTTTGTGCGCTACATTTAAGATTGTATAATTTTGTGACGTTTAGAGTGCAAGTAAAGATCTCTAGTACGAAGTTGCCGATTACATTAATTAGATGAACTTTATTCTTTCCTCATTAAGAAATTTTACCATACATGTGTATATACATAAAATAGTGTACTATATATCAATTACATTATTTGTAAAAAGTCAAAACATTATAACTATTAGGAATGTTCTTTATAAAGTTTAAGCTGTTCCAATAATCAAACATGTGCCCTTTTTTTTTTTTTTTTTTTTTTTTTTTTTTATATCCAGGTATCCCAACTTACACCAGACTAAATCCTGGACCTCCAAGACCCATGTCCCTAGAACCTTGGAGGGGGTAAATCGCGGGTTATACCTGAATTGGATCATAGATTCACCCCATTGACTGTATACTTCTGTGCACAAGAGACTCTCCTCCACAGTGATTGCTCCATACCAAATTTTTGGCCGCAAGTTCCCACTAGGAATCGAACTCTCCACCCTGCCGCTGGAAGCAAGCCAATGTTGATTGATCCACCAGTTGAGCTGTGCCCCGGGGGACAACATGTGCCCCGGGGGACAACATGTGCCCCTATTTTGCCCTTACTGTTGGTTGGTATGTCTTTACTATGTTAGGGGGAAGAAATTATTAATAATTAATACAAAAATATTTTATTCAAAACTCTCTTAGCCTATGTTCTCATTTTAATGAGCCATTACATTTTACAACAGCAAATTTAATGTTAAAAAATAAATCTAACACAGCACATTTGTCAAGATGGAAAATTTAATCACTAAGAAATTAATTCCGTGTCATGAGATTCCTAATAACCTAATTTCCTAACTATCATACCCAATGAATAAATAAAATGACCTCCTATAATCCTAAATAATAATGCATTAATAATACTAGTTGGTTCCAGCCTAGTGCCACTCGTGTACAGAGTTGTGACATTCTCCCATAAATAAAAGGCGTCCATTATTTGGAGTGTACAATGATCTGAACTTAAACTTGGGGATAGTCCTCCTACCCTTAACCCTACTTCACCCTTTACCCATCACTTATTGGAACCTTTTGAGAATTCTTGTCTAAAAGAATTAGGGCTGTTCACAACCCCACATGTGAGGGGCTATAACATTGTACATTCCAAACAGCTCAACCCAAAGAATTAATGGGGTGGGAGACAGCTGGAGACAATGGGGAAAGATACATAGAAAAAAATTTATAAAAATATAAATGGAATTGGGACGGTCCTGGCCCTCAATCTAAAGTCCAAACTCTTTGTTGGATCATGCTATGAGTATAAAATGGGATACAAAAAGGGTTACAAAATCAACAAGTGGCGGCTGTCGATTGGAGGGGCGGCTGGCCCCACAGTTGCCCTTCCAATAGGGGGCCGCCACTTGTTGATTTATTAACCCATTTTGTTCATGATTTAGTACAAATAGAATAATCCCTCTTTGTTTTATCATAAATAAAAGAATAATTCTAGTCTGCCAGGGTAAGGGTTCACAGGCCTTTTACAAGTTTTGTTTTGTTGTTTTCTTCCTCTTTTCGAGAATCCAAACCAATCTTTTGTATCAAATTTAATTGATTTCAATTAGATCGGTTTGTAATTATAATTGAATGTAAGTAAGAGTAAATAGGCAGTTTGTGTTGGATTTTTGGGTATTTTAAAGATATATAATTCTTTTTCTTTTAATGGTATTTTTTTGTGGGGAACTATATGCCTTCTGCACCATAGTTTTAAACTATCATCTTTACACATGTATTTAGCCCATGTTTTATAGATTTTAACTTAGATTTTTATTAAATTCAAAGTCAGTAATTAATTTTAACTACTTGTTTGATGGGACTCACAATTTTTCAATCACATATTTCATTAACTTTTATCAAAATCTGCTAAAATTTTGATTTTAATATCTATCATAAAGGGCGAGTTAATTATTCCAATGATCATTGAATTTAAGTCCATGTTTTTAATTAGTCATTAAAATTTAAAATATTGAGTTTTGGCCACTGAACTTAGATTCATGTCTTCGACTACTCACTGAAGTTTAAAATATCGAGTTTTGGCCATTGAATTTTGAAAAATGTTGTACATTGCTCATTGTAAATTCGATATTTTCTAAAATTCAACATTTAACATACAATATTTTTCAAAGTTTATACTAGTGAGTAACGTGCAATATTTTTGAAAGTTTAGTGATTAAATCTCGACATTTTAAACTTCAATGAGTAATTGAAGACATTGACCAAAGTTCAATGACCAAAACTCGACATTTTAAATTTCAACGATCAATCAAAAATATGAACATAAATTCAGTGACCATTGGAACAATTAATTCTACATAGGCTTAGTTTTTAATGTACACAAATTGCTCATTTTTTTAATAATTAAATCCAAGCAATAATATGAACCTTTTTTCCCCAATTTTCTGACATGGTTATGGCAATATATTGAAAGGGGGTATTTAACCATAAAAACACATATTTAGCCCTCGTCTGATCCCCATTCTTTCTAAATTTTAATGGTTGGAATAGTATTTTTTTTTAAGGGGAATTTACAAAAATGTCACAAAAAATGAAAGTTCCAAAAAAATTGTCATTTTCACTTTTTGTAAGCAAAAATGTCACATTTTTTAGGTGCAAAGTCCAAATTACCCTTAATGACACATTTCTAGTTGCATTAAATGCTTGATTTGAAGGACAAGCATTGATTTGATGTGATTATTTAATTTCTATATAGAAAATATGGAGAAATGCTTTTTTTATTGATTAATATGAATTTTTGTTAATAAAAAATCACCAAAGAAATTTGAAAACGTAAATAAACAAGAAAGCCTACCTTTTCTCCATCTTCTTAATTTTCATTGATCAAGAAAACATCTGTGTTGCATTCTTCATCCATTTTGAGAGGTTAGCAATTACAAATTATTTATATTTTACTTTTATAACTTTTTATTTGTACATGTTAAATACAACATGGACATATTTCTTTGAAATTTTTGAAAGTATTATACATTCATTTGTTTGGTTTTGAAATCCTCACAAAATGTCATTATCACCATTAAGGTTTTGAGTAATTTCTTCAATTACCACCATTAAGGTCTTTTTAATGACAAGACCCAGATGCCATTTACATTTTGTCATTTTGTAGCTGAATAATAATGACCACACTTAATGTGATGTGCTGAAGAAGCCTGAGAAACCCACTGCCATCTGCTTCCCGACATTTTCGACTGTTGAACTGTCGAGTTCGACATTTACAAATCGTCGGGTTAGACGTTTGAGATGTCAAACCCGACATTTACAAACTGTCAGGTTATACAATTTTATTTTCAATTTAGACACTTCAAAACGATGGAAACTCTTGATTTGACATTTTGCTATTGTACGGATTTACGTATTATGCAGTGCCACTTTCATGCTATTAAATGCCAATATATTCATTCTGAATTCTTATCGTTGCAATCCCAACATTTTAGGTATGAGTAATCATGTGAGATTCATCATGTCGCATGGGAAAAAGTTTGTTTATGCGGATGACGAATGGAGGTGGAGAGGGGATAAAATCACTTCCATTCTGGTGCCGACAAGTATTACCGTAGTCGAATTTTTGTTAAGGTTGAAGGACAAACTTAGTATTCTTGATCCCCACACTCAAATTGAATTGAAGTTCAAAGTTCCTAACTTGAATATATCTCCGGCCGAAATACACGACGATAAAGACTTAAATTGGTGGTAAAAGTGATTGTCAAATGTAATCTCGAAAATGTTCCCACCTATGTAGTGTACATTCTGAAATTACGTTATTTATTTGTTGTTATTATCATATGCCAATAAAAAATTGGTCGTTATGTTTTGCAAACAAAGTATCAATCATTACGGTTCCATTAGCACAAACGGGATGTATACGTTATTTTCATTATAAACTTAACAGATCGTTATGATTCCATTAGTTTCGACTGACAGTCTGTCGAAATGGAAAATTGATTTTCATGAAACAACAATTCACAAATAAAACACTAACATTACATCCCGACAGTTCATATGTCGTCCCCGACAGATGGGTTCTTTAATTCTCGACAGTTGGGAACAATAAAGGCTTCCAAAAATACGCTATAGCAGTTACCCATTATGAACATGCTATTGTTGCATGTACGCAGAGGACGTGACCAAAATCATCCCTACCACAAAATACTATTCATAATTTCCTACAAAATGGCCATTTATTGCACACTTGCATTGCTATCGACATTTTAAGCTTCTCCCCCACTTTCTCCATCAGAATCGTCTGAACTTATGACAATTATTTCTGGATGTTGAAGAGGAGCTAGCCACTCATCCGAGTAAGACGGTGATTTGAACAGATCCCTGACCTTGAAAACTTAATCAAGCACGTTGTTCGATGACTTAGATTCTGCACTTGACACTTCGTTGAACTTGGCACCATGGTGCTCAATGCTTACCTCCTCATCGTCCGAGGATAAAACGATGGGAAATTCAGTGGCGAACCTAGTATTGGCGGATGCATATTGATGTTGAATGGTTCGTTGTTGAAGGTGGATGAACACATTATCTCGTATTACTAACTGTTTCAATATGAGAGTCTCACAAGAGCTTCTCTAGTCTTTCAAGGGGTGGATTATGCCTTCAACCACAAAGTGTATTTGTATTATTTAGACATTCACTATCATTTTCTCATTGACGTTTTCAATGAGAAACTTATAAAATGCATTAATTTCAATTTCTCCAAAAACGAGAAACTTATAATCTTTATAATTTCCATTTACGAACTACGATCCAGATATTGGTCAAACTTATAATTTTCATTTTTTTGAAAGCGAGAAACTTATAAAATGCACCAATTCCTCATTTTTCGAAAACGAGAAACTTATAAAATGCACCAATTTTCATTTTTCAATTAGATACCAGTTTTAATCTCTAGGTCGAATGAGTTCAAAAAGTAAGAAACTTACAAAGTGTAAAAACAGTTTCCATACCAACATTTTTTGTACTAAATTCACATAGTTTCTTTGACAGTGAATACCACTTGAACATATCAACATTTCCCAAAAAATAAATAAACAATAATATAAAATAAAATGTTCCTCCATGCATTCTCCGCAGTCACCCGAAGCAAAACATTGTCAACGTCGCTCTTTCTTTGACATGGACATCGATTGGATCCAACTCCCATTACAACAAGAACCTGTCGACCAACACTTTGATACTTGTTCAGGTCATGAGTACGATTCTGTACATAGGCCGTCATACATACGTAAAATGAGTATTCTGAGACAAAGCACGTAAAAAGCAAGGTGAAGAAATGTAATAGCGTTCAGGTCTATGCTATCTTTATCGATCACCTCACAAAATAACAAAACATTTGATAGAATTTCAGAAAGGTGCATAGAGTTTGTGATTCAATCCATTTGTATTATAAACTGTATCGGAGTAGAGTTTTATTGCATTTAGTACGAGCTCAATAAGTGCAATTATACATCAGGTTCCAAATTTCATGGCATTTAAGTTTTCGAATGCAATTGTGCTGTCGAAGTTGTCAAAACAAAAAAGAACTGCTCACTTATTTTTTCACTTTCTTTGCAATCTCCCTCATGTACGGAGTCCTAGTAGACGGTGCAGGATGTCGCAGGCGTGCAGATCATATCATCTTTGAGATAGGTGCCGTATCCCCGGGCGCGGCTGTGGTGGCTTCCACCGGCATTTCACTCGCACCACCTACAAAATATTGCAGAGGGCCCTAAATATTTAATCGAAATTTGTACCACTAACCGTAATTAATCAGATCAAAATTTTCTCACAAGAAACTTACGTCCTCCCCTGCCATGCCGCTAGCAGAAGCAATTAAGTCTTGCTCAACGTTTCCCATACCAGCGTAGGGAACTTTCTTGTCGTCACCGTCCCTCGAACCAACACAAGCTTCCTTGTCGTCACTGTCTCCTGAGCAAGAAGCTCGAAATCCGTGTATGCAAAGACAAAACAAGAAATGAATACATCAGATGATAATATAATATTTCTAGCTGCATATAGACCAAAAACCATAAGTATGCTATGAATTGTCTATCAAGAGTTCCACCCGAATACAATGAGTGCCACACACAACAAGTGGATTGCAAGTGAAAACAAGGTTATGACACACGTAACATACACATTGAAACGAAATATATGTCAAGTATCAATCAAGATTTCCACCAAATGCATACAACGAATATCACACATATTACTTCAAATTACCTTTTACGAATTTACTTATGTAAGATCGAAATTAATGTGAAACACACTGAACTCAGGTAAGGACTGAACTGTCGTTCCCGACAGTTTGAACTTGTCAATAAATAAAATGTCGGGAACGTCTATCAAGAGTTATGGTGTTTCCTCTCTAGTTTTCCAGTTGACCTAGTTAATTTCCTTCTTCGTTTCAGAGGGGGAAAAAGAAGAAAACTGAAAATAAACAAAAGCTCAATTGTAAACTTGTAATATTCATATTTTTAATAGTTATATGAAAATAATATGTATAGTGAAGAGACATTTATTCTTACTCATAGTTAATCTTCTACCATTAACTAATAGGGCTTTACCATTGTTTGTTGATTAAAAAGTGCAAGAAGTCTATTTATATTATAGCCATCTCATTGCACACCAAAATTTGTGAATTCACAAGGATACTTAGCTAGACTTCATGATATCAATTATAAGAAAGTAAAGATAAAAATTACAATGAACTTGCAACCAAACCAACATTTCTATCTTCCAACCATCAATAGGAAAAATTCCATGAATCAAGATAATCTCTTTTCGAATCACAATATTTTTTTTCTTAAGGGAACACGAAAATATCCAAATCAAGCCAGAAAAAAATAAAATAAAAAGAAACATACCAAAAAGTAGATATTGATCTTCAACAATTCTCCTAAGTTTAAGTAGATTCCTTATAATTTCAATAAAATGTACATAGATTTAGGACTTCAGCATGGCAACCAGAGTAAATTGTATGAACTTTTTAGACCAACAAACCTGGACAAAAATGGATATTTTGGCAATCACAGAAGATCTTGAGTGAGAGAGGAAATTGAGAGTCGTTTAGGTTTAGGGCTATGGTTGATATATGAATGAATATTTTTACATTTTTAGTTTTCATATATATATTTTTTAATTTTTGTTTTTTTTCTTGTAAGTAGTGAGATGGGATCTTTTGATGTGATGCAAATTAACTTTTTGTACTATTCTTTCATCTAGTCAAATCAATTTTAATTAAGGACATCCAAGGTATTTCAATTTTTTTTGAGGGCCATAAAAGTCATAAAGTGATAGTTTGGTCAAAATTATTAAAATGTGACATTTTTGTAAATGCAAACCCAAAAAATGACATCCAGTGTAATTTCCACTTTTTTTTTAAATGTGTTGTTGAAAAAGAATGAAAAGTTTTTGATTCGCGTGTAATATTATTTTATAGAAAATTGTGTGGTTGAAAATAAGAGAGAAAAAATGAATGAAAATGGGGTCCAAACCAGGGCTTAATTGAAAATGGAAGTGCAGCCAACGCTTGTCCCTACAAATTGATAGGATTTGAATTTAGAGTTTTCCATAATCAATCACAACCACAAAAGAGACAAGAATTGAAATTAATGAGTTTTAGTCCAAAAGTAATCAAATGTAAGGTAACAAATGCCGGTAACAAATGCCAATTGATGAGTCAAACAAGTAGCATCAATCAATTGATGGTTTAGTTCATGAAACTACTCTCCAATATGAATTGGAAGCACACACTAGTTGGCATTTGATGGTGCCAAAACAATTCACCAGGATCTTCATATCGAAAACAATACTCTGCTTTTCTTTTTATTATTTATTATAGAAAATGAAAATGTTTATTTCTCTAGTGTCAATAATTAATTAGTGTTACACCCACGGTAAATAGGTCACATTTTCACATAAATATTGTCTAAAGATATTAAAAACACTAACTTTAGGACGTTATTGGAGCATATTGACCCTGGCTTAATCTTAAAGAGTCATTGCACAAAAATCTAATCCAACAGTCAATCGAAAGCAATATGGTATTTGAAATGGACTGATATAGAAGTTATTCAAGTTAAACGGAAGCTCATGGGTTTTACGAGAGAATAATGGATGCTCTACCTTTCTATCCGAGCACCAGGGAATATGTTGGGAAGCTTTTGGATATGTCATGGAGACTAAAACAAAAATTTGAATTTTAAATTTGGTTGTTCCGTAAAAATTCCACAATCGTACATAATCATTGACAAGTAATAGATTTGAGTGATTTGAGAATCTCATCCCAAAGGAAAGTTTACTAGTTTCGTATGGAATTCGAATTATGTAGATAAAAGAAAGATTTTAATTTGATTTTATGTTAAATTATCGAAGAAACTCTTAAAAATTATTTTTGTATCGAATTATGGATGATTGTATTGGATTTCAAATTTACCTATTGCTATCTATTTCAATTATTGATTTGTAATAAAGTTCCATTTGTATGTTCTTGACAATCGATAAACCTAATGTATTTAACTTTCTTTTTTAAGATAAATTAATTATATTTTAATCATGACTCGAATCTATTCCTAATACGAATTCGAATGATTAAAATGAATTAAATTTTAAATTATTTATATGATTCAACACATGATAAATGTTATTTTTAACATCTATAGTATATATATTAATTTTGTCGTATTCTAAAGTTATTGTAAGTCTTCCACCACTACAGCATGTAACTAATTATTTAATTGACGGTCAAACAATTAAATAATGCAATTGATATACAAAATTAATCAAGAAATAATCTAAAATACTAGTTTTGAATTTAAAACAAATAAATTATAGGGTTCATCTCATCCATTAACACAAAATGGATATAATCTAGCATGCTTTTAAATAAATTACTAGAAGAATAATGAAATGTCATCACTTGGATCATGAAATAATGTAAGAAATTTAATCTTCAATTCCAAGGTTGAATTCTTAAACTTCTTGTTGTTATTAGTTTCAATTCCTCGTTAGGGTTTAATCTTCTCTCTCAAAAGTGATGAATTGACATCTTTTTCTTGATGAATTTTACGATATTATTGTATATCTAGAGGCTAGAGAGAGTTCCTTCAATGGTTGTCCATATCTAGTATTATATAAGGTGAAAATAGGTCAAAAATTAAGTCCAAATTTGGTTCCAAAAAAGTTTCAATCAAAAGGAAAGTTGCTTTCTCGTATGTGCATGATTATTTCTCTGTGCAGTTGTTAGTATTTTTATCATAACTTTCTCTCTTAATATTTGATTGAGGTTGTTCAAAATGTGTTGAAAAGTTAAATCACATGGCTCTAATTTTTTCAGAAATAGATAATCTCCGATTCGAAGGTTTACTATTCAAAAAATGAATCATAACTCTGATTACGAATCTGGAACATACTTTGCGTAATTGGAAATCGATTTATGAAAATCTGTTGATTATATATATTTTTTTTAATTCTAATTGCATCCAATTGACTCCAACAATCTTCAATTATCATTTTGTGGTTCGAATCAACTATTAAATATTTGCAATTTGGTCCCGAACTTTGTATTTCTTCCTTTATCTCTTGTTTTACGTTTCTTTCTTCCAATTCACCCAATTTGCCTCAAGTTTTACCTAACAAATAAAATTAACATCTAATTAAATCATAAGTCATCGAAATTGTTTATAATTAACCACAGTTAATGGTTCAAATAAGTGTACAAAATACACTTATCATTGTTATATAGTTAAGTTTTCTGTTATGGAAGAGTAATATATTTGGTGTATGACGACGAGCTTGATTAGACCAAATTAATCACATGAAATTAATATCCATTTTTTTATGGATTCTTTGGAAGCATACTGTTCTGTAGGTCCTTCTAACTTTATACGTGTATATATACAAATACATATATTTCTACATATATATTTAAATCTATATATGTATACACACACATACACACACACACACACACATACATACATACATACATACAAGAAATGATTTTCAAGAAAAAACAATGTTATTTGTTGGAAATATCAAAAATCTGGGCATTAATCTAATAAATGTCCTCTCAAAGGCAAGATTAACAATCTTCAAACTGATGAAGATATTAAGCTTCAACTTCTCAATCTTATTGATTCAAATTCCAGTTCTGATAATGAGTCAAACTCAGAGTTGGAACATGTTTTTCAACATCAAGGAGATTCAGATGTTGAATCTAGTTCAAACTCTCAATCTTCTTCAAGTCAAAGTAAAAAACTTTGTGGTTGTAAAACTATAAATATTTTTACTAAACAAGAAGAACTTCTTAAAAAGATTGTTGATCAAATTGATGATTCACAGCTCAACAATAAGTTTAATTCCCTTCTTCCTTCAAATTCAAAATCTGAACCCTTCAATATGCAAAAAGTTTTAAATCGTCTTGAAACTTCAAAATTTTCTAGTTCTGATTTAAAATCAAAAGTCAATTCCATGAAGTCTCAAATTTCTATTCTTGAACGTCAAATGAAAGATTATGGAAGTTTCTCTTCTCAAAACTCAAGATAAGAAGTTAAAGTCAAAGACTTCTTCTTATTCATCTTCTTCCAGTTCTTCTGGTGAAGAATCAAATCCTCTCATTCCTTCAAATATTCAATCGGAAGAAGAAATGATTAATGTCATTAATCGTGTTCAACTTTAAAAATGGTACTACAATATAACTATTGTAGTCAACAAAGAATTCAAATTCACTTCTAGAGTCCTTATTAATTCTGGAGCTAATCAAAATTGTATCCGTAAAGGATTGATATCTACAAAATATTTTGAAAAAGCTACCGAGCGTCTTTATGATGCTAGTGGTAAGAAAGTCAACATTCAATATAAACTTTCAAAAGCTCATGGTTGAAATTCAAATATTTGTTTCAAAAAAAATTTTATCTTGTAAAAGATTTAGATCAAGAAATAATTCTTGGTACTCCTTTTAGTGTTCAAAATTATCCTATTCAAGCTACTTCAAAAGGTTTAACTACAAAAATATTCAATCGAGAAATTTGTTTCAAATTTACAAATCCTCCTTCATAACGATGTTAATTCTTTAAAAGAAGCATCAATTTCAAAAATTGTCAATAATATTAATTTCAAAAAAAAATCATATTCGATTTCTCAAAGAAGAAATTAAATTTCAAAGAATTGAAGGACAATTACAAAATCCTTCAATTCAAGAAAAAATTTCAAATCTTCAAAAACAAATGAAAAAAGAAATTTGTTCTACTATCCCAAATGCTTTTTGGGATCGTAAGAAACGTGT